TCTCTCTCTCTCTCTCTCTCTCTCTCTCTCTCACACACACACACACACACACACACACACACACACACACACACCTTCCCATTTACTCTGCCTCCTGAAATAACGTGCAAGTGGGCCTTGGAGGCACACGGGGATGTGGGCAGCTGCCGCTCAACCACAATCAACGTGGGCAAGCCTTGCGCGTAAGAGGCACAGTAAAAGGGGAGCTGCAAGAACAATGAACGGGGTACACCAAGAACAACCAAAAAACTGTCTAATTATAAAATTGCTTTAATATGTTTGGACATCTCAAATGCTCTCTTGTTGTCTGCAATAGGATAAAGACTGCTTTGATTCTGAATCTGTTCACCTGGGTGGAATTGGGGCTGTTGTGGGGAAAATCTAAAATGCACACACACACACACACACACACACACACACACACACACACACACACACACACACACATGGCCTAATTTTCTGCCCTGCTTTAGGGCATGGGCTGTCTTTCTGATGAAGCAATGTCTATGGAGAGTGTTTGCTGTGGGTGTCATTCTCACGGGCTGCTCTTTTCGAGCACATGGAAAAAATGGGGCGTTCTAGGATGTTTTAAGCAGTGGTGCTCCCTGGTGTCGCGTGGAGATCTTGTGGTGTTTGGTATAATTCGCGCAGTGGCTTCGCTGTAGCACTACGAGGTATTTGAATGTAATTCTGTGCCATGGGTTGGGGCTGTAGTCGTCTTCCCATAATTCTGCAGATTGCACGGCTGGGGGAGGTTCTGGAACTCTAGGTGTTGTGCAGAGGTCCTGTGGTGTTTGTTTGAGTTACAGTGGCTTTGTGGGCTGACTCGGTGGGCTCTCTAAGTTTTTTCTCAGACCAATTGTGGGCGTGGTAAATGCTTCCTTGTTAGTGGTTGAGTTGTGGTGCAAGTGATATTTTGTTGTGTATAATTGCCGTTTGTTAAGTACATTGTCTTTTGCCCTCCATCGCTTTATGGATTGTGGACCCATACTTTCTCGGCCAGTTGGCTATATCAGCTACTGGCTATACGGTCCCTTCTGATCCTTGGCGTCAATCGGGCCACAAATGACCCTCAAGGTACCTGTGACGAAAATCAAAGAAGATTATCACTCCATAACTGGGCTAGCGGTAGAGCAGGAGGACGGCGGCCATAGCCGCCAAGGTGTAAGCTACTTGAGTGGGTGTATCCAGGGTAATGATCTAGGGTAGAGAGAAGAGAGAGAGAGTGAGGCAGAGCGAGTCAAGTCAGAGAGAGAGAGAGGAGAGGGGAGAAGCCGCTATCTGGTTGAGATCCGTTGTGCGTGTGTGTGCGGCAGAGCCGCTGTAGACAAACATTCTTGTATTATATTGTTAATAATAATATTTGAGATGACATCTTCTGGCGTTGATTGTATCTCGATCTGGCTTCTCACATCTGAACTATCATGTGAATGTTCATTGATGTATGCGAGGTTGAACTTGACGAGTACTTGGCTCATTTCATTCTTGACTCAGCTGACTACAGCCAGTGTAAATTTGCACTTTTCATAACTTTTCAGAACTTTTGACCCTTTTGTGTTTTGATTTGCACTATGCAAATCTTGCAATAGCCATGGTCCCTCATGTACGTTCCAAGTTCTGCAGCATTCCCGCACGCTTTAGTACATCATCAAACTTCGAAATCTTTGTCTATTGACTCTGTTCTGTGGGTGTCAAATTGCCAATGCTTTGTGTCCTAAATGAAGTTATATCTGTATCCATTAACTTGCGAGCAAGCACCGAATGGAAAGCAAAGCTAGTGACATCGGTTAAAATAATAAGAACGATACGGAGACGGTGAGCAAGGTCCCTGTGCAAGAATGGCAAGGAAAAAGAAAGGAGGAAAGCAATTTTATCCACAAAAGAGTGACAGAAGAGACGGAGAGAGGGTCCAATTGGCTTTGATGTGGATGCTATATTGAATAATTGTAACAAGGGACGCTGGGCCCACTTCTCAGCAGGTGCCGCTCCCCACCAATAGATGGAGCCACTCCGGGATAGCTTGAGGAGACTGCTCCTACCAGCATCTCAAGCTGTCCCATGGGGTCGATTCCGAAAAAAAAAAAAAAAATAGAGACGGAGAGACTTTTCCTGGCTTTTTTGCATAATGGACGAGTCAAACTCTTTTGTCTATTGCTGGAAGTGCCACAGTTCTTTTGAAAGACTGTTTCCAGTTGAGACTCGCTCAGGTATTTTTCCATTTTGGTCTTCTGATGGGGTTGATTGTGTTGCAGGAGCTGTAGCCTTGTGCCGAGTGCCTGTGAAGTGGGCTGTCCCTGGCAAGGAAAGGCAGGATTCTGTTTTCAACGGACTTCAGGTACTGTTTCCTCGGCTGAGCTGTCTCAGTCCGTCGATGTTAGATCTTCCAATCGTGTGTTTATCCCGTTCGGCATTGTGTTTGTTTCATACCATAGCTACGCCGAACCAGACCCCGGAACCCGGACATCCCGGGCCCTTCCGGACTTCCGGAACACCGGAATTTTCCAGAGGATCCGGATCCCTTTCCGGATGCCTGTCCGGATTGCCCATATTTTCCGGGGGGGAGAAAAAAATGCATACATACATACATTACCTCGGTGTGTGTGTAGGATGAGCAAAATCGGAATGAATCTTCAGGCAGAACATGGAAATATTATTCAAATATACACTGCCTTTTTTTCTTTTTTTTTTTCCATGTGTGCATCAACTGAGCAGCCTGCCAATGTGCAAAATGAGAAGGAATCTTCCGCAAGAACATAAGAAGATACACCGCGGCGGACAGAAGATACATTGAAAAGAAATCCCGGTGTGAGTATGGACTAAGGTGCTGTCCGATGCAAATGTCGCCGCGTGCGCGCGCGCGCGCGCGCGAGAGAGAGAGAGAGAGAGAGAGAGAGAGAGAGAGAGAGAGAGAGAGAGAGAGAGAGAGAGAGAGAGAGAGA